TCTCTCTCTCTCTCTCTCTCTCTCTCTCTCTCTCTCTCTCTCTCTCTCTCTCTCTCTCTCTCTCTCTCTCTCTTTCTCTCTCTCTCTCTCTCCAGCGCGTATACACACATCATGGTTTTTCTTTTTTTTCTTTTTTGCGCGCGCACGCGCACCTGGGATTAGCGCACTGCGCACCGCGCAGCGCACTTCACCTATGCGCCGCAAGTACGATTTCGATTCTACACAACATATTTTTTTCCCGTTTTTTTTTTTTTTTTCCCGCTGGGCTTCCTGGAATGCTGCCCAGGGGTCATGCCCGGGCTACATTTTGCAGAATAATGGTGCACACTGCGCATTTCAGTTATCAATTTGTGAGATACATTTTTTGGGGGGGAAGGACACAGCAAACCCCTTTAAAAAACCTCAGGGACCATGCTGGTGTCCGCCTGACTTGACCCACCGCTAACCTTTGATGGCCTCCAATTTTTGAGGACAGTACCAGAAGTGAGTTGGACTTGTATCGAGTTCTATTTATGTTCCAGGGGAGATCAGGTTCCCGGGGGTGGGGGTTGGTGGGGAGTAGCAGGCCCACGCGCAAAAATTTTAGGGCCATGCTGAGGGTGGTACAGCACAGGTCCACTAGTTGATACCAGAGTTGCAATCAATCAGCGGCCAGCGAGGTTTTCCAAGGAGTAGACGCCACCGGCCCTCAGTAAAAACATCTTGTGAGTTCCTCTCATCTAAAAGCAAAGTTTTTTTTTATGGGCCGGCACCCTGGACATTTAAAATTTGGGCTATATATATCTCGATTTGTGTGTGTCATCCTTGTGTGGAGGGCGCGCAAATGATAACCCCTCCTGGTCCTTCGCTGTATTGCTCCAATTTTAACAGATCTGCTGAAGGACCTGGCACCCTGAATGACATTTGAGCTTGCATTGACAAATTGACATGAACACACTGGTCCAACCCAGGGCATCCATCACATAAGCAAAATTCCGTTAAAATTGGAACGATACAGAGAAGATTATCATGCCCCCTGCGCAAGGATGACACGCATGAATCGAGAAATGGTCCAAATTATATATATCCTCACAAATAGAACTGCCCGGTAAACCGTAGGCAGAGAGAGAGAAGAGGACAACAAATATATATTAAAAAAAAAAAAAAAAAACAGAAAAGAAAAGGGGAAAACAAAAATGAAAACAGGGTACTACCCAGGAAAAAACAAACAAAAAAACAAAAAGACAGACCTGGGTCAGGTCCTCTACCTTCACGTACATGTTGACGGCTTCTGGAAGACTGTTGAAGGTAGGGAAGGGAAAGAACGAAAAAGATTCTGATGTCCTTCGGGATATCCGTTAAAATTGGAACAATACAGAGACTGAAGATTAGCCTGGCCCCTGTGCAAGGATGACACGCATAAAAGATCGAGAAATGGCCGGCCTAGCTCAGTTGGTAGAGCACGTAAGTGGCATTCAGATGGTCGTGGGTTCAATTCTCAAGTCGTTCATTCGATCCCCGCGGCCCCTGTGGCGTGCTTCGGGTTCACCAGCTGAGATACTTGGCTTGCCCCTCCTGCTTGGATAGGACGTGTCTTGCATCCGCCTTCTCGCTCCATGCCAGGCGTTAGGGATTCGCAGTGGTGCTTAGGCATGGGTGGGGTTCGGTGTCAACCCATAATGCTTAGGGCACTCCATGGCTGCAACATTCAATGACTCGAAAACCGGAGTTGGATAAGGGGGGGGTAGGTAGCGTGAGGCATATGAGAGAAGGATATCGCTTAAGTTTAAACCACTAGTACCTCCGCCAGTGTTGGAAAAATACTAAAATAGTGAAAACTGGCAGTTCTCCCATTGCCCCCCGAAAAGTTCGGAGGTCCCAGAGGCTCGGCAAGAAGAATAAAGTTTACTTTTATATTGCCCGCCCGTGAAAAAAAAAAAAGGAAGATACTCTCTCTACTGCAATGATGTCAGGTAGGGTACTCTAGGAGGCCATCCTCACAATAGTCCTCCACAGAAGAAGAATCTTACAGCTAAAACGCTCAGATCGTGTATGTCGTTGCTCAGATCGTAGATGTTGTTGTTTTCTTTTTTTCCTTTCTTTTCTTTACTCTTACGAGTCCTCTGCCAGCAGGGCGTAGTCCATGATCTGCCCAAGCTGTGTTTCCTTAGAGGATTGCAACCCTGATCACACTGGCACTCGGAGGAATGCATCCAGCCAAAATCACAGCCGAATCTGTGTTTCCTTTTTTTTTCCTTCTTGTCTTTCTGAAATCTGACAACCTCGCCATGGGGCTGAGACGGCCTCACTGAGGGCACACACACACTACCATTTCCAAGACTGTATACAACTGCATTTCACGGCCAACGGTTTGTTTCCTTCCGCCCCCCCTTCTTTTGTCAGTTTCACGGCCACAACTTTTCTTTTTCTTCTTCTTCTTCTTCTTCTTCTTCTTCTTCTTCTTCTTCTTTCGTTATTTCCATGAGAGTACGAGAAAAGAAAATGGAGTGGGAGCCAGGCTCGGCAAAATTCCGAGCACAGTGAAATTCAGGTTCCTGGTACTACTAGTTTACACCCCCCCCCCCCCCCCCCCCCCAAAAAAAAAAAAAAAAAAAAAAAAAGTCTGGTCTGTCTGCCGCCCCTTGGGTAACTAGCCCTTCCTCCCAATGGCTACTCCGCTAATTCTACCCTTCATGCCTTTGTCTGTAACGAACTAGAGGCTGTATACATTTAAATCATCTTATGGAAGCAAGATACACGGGAACGGGGTGCAGATGCGACAAAATAGCACATACACCAGGTCATCAAACTCGGAGACCACATACGTAGATAGCCCTTACCCTGCAAATGATCTTTGCTGGAGACGCCAGATCCCTTGCCTGGGACGTGACCAGCAATCGTGTGAGTATCTGTAGGGGAACCCGCTTCTCCTTCCTCGACAAACACCTCCTCCTCTCCGGTAGCCAGTCTATTGACAATTTCCGATGACTCCAGCTCAAGGCGATCCGCCTCCTCTATCCTGCACTCGACACCTTCATCGTCCGAACGCAAACACGCCAAACGATCCTGCTCACCGCGGTTGGACTGTCCGGTGGATGCATGCCATTCGCTCCCGCCTGTCTCCTCAGCACTTTCATATGCTTCTGAAAACCTCGCTTCTACCGCTCCCAGAGCATCATCATCATCCCTCACCGCGCCCTCTTCCTCCGTGGCTTCGTGATTCACTACCTTGCTTGAAGTGCTGCCAGCATTCACTCCGTGCAGTGCTTGCCCTCCTTCATGGCTGGATGCCTCTTCAGTAGAGCTCAGAACCACTGTGCCAAAGAGCTTCTCTCGCCTCAGCCTTAGAGCCATGTTAACTTCTTGGAAAAGCAGCTCCATCTTCAGACAGAACCCGCACCACGACACGTGGAATAGCACAAGAATGTTGTGGCCCCGTGCATCCAATTCCCAGCAACAAGATGGACTGAGCATCGGATCCCGAAGGTCCTTGTGCACACTGCATTGGGCACTGGCACATGACCTATCTTCTCCTTTGCTCCCACTGATTTCATTCTCGAGTGCGCCTGCATTAGACTGTTGAGAAGAGTCCCCAGCTGTTCCATCAGACCCCCCTCTACCCAGTGCCAGTTTATCGAAGGTCCTCTTGTTGACTCGTGGGACCGAGTGTTCCCTGTAGTAACCGTGTCGAGCGCCTGCATGCACAGCCAGCGGGGAGCTAGGAGAATTCCATGCCTGATTTAGCAGGCCGAGACTACTTCGGGGAATCCTACCACCCATCACTCCTGCACAGAAATCCATCACCGATGACTCATTGATATCATTCCCATCAGGAAATAAGTAGTGCGCCTCTTTCATTGGATCAATGATCGCAAGGCTTGGCATCATTGGTCGTAAACCAAGCTTCTCCGGCAACACCTCTTCCCCATCCATATAGAAAAACTGCAAAGGACTACGGCTTTCTCCCTCCGCACCGCCCTCCCTGTCTCCCAATTCCTTGTCTTCGCCGCACGCCTCTCCCCGCGCACTTGTTCCCGATGACCCTCTGCACGTTGTTCTCCCAGATTCTGCAGCCATTACTCCATGCGAACCTTCTCTCTCCGCATATTCCTGGCCCACATCTTGCATTCTACTCCCTGGCATTTGGACCGTGAAGTGGACATGACCGTTCCCATCGATCGTCACAACTTTGGTCATCCCATCTTCCGCTGAAAGCATGTCGAAAAGGCTCATCCCGTTCTCCACATGGAACACATTCTCGACTTGATGTCCCTCCACCAGATCTTGAACAAACGGCCCCACCTCCTGAGCCTTCCGTAACGCCGTGGCATATTCCCCGCCAGTGCTCTCCAAGGGGTTGCCATGTCCGCCTTCGTGAACCAGAACATTCTCCGCACCTACAGTGCCGTCACCCTCCCTTCCCTGCTTCTCGGGCCCTACTTCTGTGGTTGGGGATGCGGATGCATATTCGCCAACTTCTGCCGTCTCCTCCCTGCCCATCTCTGCATTACTACGTTCCGATGTGCCTGCTGCTCTCTCTTCTACTCTGTTACTCAAACCATCGCTACTCGAACCATCGTTGTTGTGCGTGATTGCCCTTTCACCACGCTTTCTTTTCTGTCTGCAGCGGCGAGCACCTTCTCCACAGCATCGCCTGCCATTATCACCCTTGTTACACTCCGTTGTTTCGCAGTGAAAAACCATTCCTTCTAATCGCAGCCCCTTCAGGCACTCCGCATTCCCATTCTCCTCTTCTACAATGACGGGTGTACGTAGTTCCTCCTCTATCGACTTCCCCTCACTGGAAGACGTCTCGATACCATCTTTTGCACCTTCTTCCACATCCCCCCCCTCTACACCGGTATCGACAGGCATGCCCATGCTGTAACTGTAGGCTACAGATCGAACAGCACTCATTGCCCGAGAGCTGGCTATCAGTACACTTTCCGATCGTGACGACCAATCCACAAAGAGTACCAGAAAAGCCCTCCCACTCTGAAACACCCTCTCGTAGGCCCCCGATGAAAGCTGCCAGGAAAAAAAAAAAAAAAAAAAAAATCAAACAAGGAAATGAAAATGTGTGAAACGATTGCGCCCAAGGAATGACGAGGAAAGCAGTTAAATCCCAGCAAATGGATTTGTGAACAAGGTACAGGCACACACAATGGTCTCCCTGGATGTCTTGCATAGTCAAACCTGCCATATCCATGCCAGATTGCCAGCAGAGGGTCGAGAGGACAGAGGGACAAAAGCACTGCTCCCATGGCCGAAGTTGGTTAGGAACGAAAGCAGAGTAACACTTGTAGTGCAACAATTGTCGTTGACAGGATCCGATCTTGTCTGATAATTGAATTGCTGCACTGCGACAAACCTGTCATACCCATGCCAGATTGACCGGAGAGGGGTGGAGAAGGTCGTCTACATGGCCGCAACTTAAGACACCAGTACATGGCCCCAGGCAAGTGGAGAACCTGTTTTAAGCCTCTCCCAAAATTTAGGAGGCCGAGCGGCGTAGATAAAATGAGTCGATGGCGGGCGGCCTCCAAAACGGGTCCGCGACCGATAGCTGGCCTGTACTGGCGCTTTAAAGGGAAGTTGGTGAAGAGGGAAAAAAAATAGCTCTTGTAGTACAACAATTGTCTTCGACAGGATTTGATATCCTCACCTCCTGACTACTCCATCAACAACAATTAATGGTATGTGCATTGTGCATCATTCAACAAGACAAATCCTCACAGCTCCTAAGCCACAATTTCCTTTCTCTTTCCCCGGTTTTCTGTTTCACATCTCCTAAACCACCACAACTGTCTCTGAGCACACCTTCCGGACCTCGACTGTTCACCTAAGGGCATACTCACACTACTTTCCTAAGTATCTGACCGCTTTCGCAGCCAGACCTAGATGCATCTGGCCGCAACCACGTCCACAGATGAATCAGAAAAGCCCTCGTGTGAGCGTGCTCTAAGAGGATGCCTCACCCAAAAACATGCACTGATCCGGGGAAAAGGCAAGGCGAAAAGAAAGGGGGGGGCGGGGGGGGAGGGGGGCAGAGAACATGGGAACAAAAGGTAAGAGGAAAAGGAAAAAACGACAACTGAAGAAGAGAGAGGGGGGTTGCTGGGGAGGTGAGTAGGGGGAGGAGACTAGACTAACCATGGATCAGCCTCCCTCACTACTACAGGGCAGTAACGGTTTATAAAGAAGGGAGGAAAAGGGAGTAATTTCCAAGGAAATGATAAAAAGTAGATACACAGAGGCAAGGGGCCAGAAAAAGCTCTCGTTGGACATCAAGAATCCTCATTTTCCCCCCCGTCCTTTCTCACGCTTTGCTGCCCCCTAACCTCTCTCATCAAGAATCCTCATTTCCCCCCCCGTCCTTTCTC